AAAACTGTGATAGGCGGGATAAACCATTCTTAAACGGCCACCTTTTAGTAAATGTGAAACCACGTTATTGTTAACGGAATTATCAGTGGTGACCAACTCGCAGCGAAGGATACAATTTTGAATAGACCAGCTAGTTGTGGTGTTTCTTGTGGTAAAGTATAAACCGTTAACATCGTCTGCTGCTTGACTTGCCGCTACTGGCGTTGCTGGATTGATTACCGGTTCCTGTGGGTCTGAACAAATTTCAAAAATAAATTCTAACGGACAATATCTAATAGGAGGATAATATCCAGATTGAACGAACCCACAGCATGGTTTATGTCCCATCCTCACGAATTTTCCTGGTGCAATACCTGTTGTATTAAGTCGTGTTAATTTTGGTAATACTATTCCTCTGTCATTTGCCGGAGCATTTGCCGCTGCATTATGGTCTTCAATTGCAAAAGCATAAAGTCTGTTAATTCTGCTGTCATATCGTGTTAAGCATCCTTCCTGTATATCATCTAAATTTCTTACTTCTTCAGATTTAAAAGATTTCATTTCTTCACATACTAAATTGTAATTATCAATATCGTTGATCTGTTGGCCTGATGCATTGCATCTATAACGGGTGAAAAATGCATGACTTTCACCTAGAGGTCTTAAATATTGTCCTGCTGTCAATGATGTATTAACAACATCAAAAAATAAACAAATACTAGACATATCAATATAATTGTTGTCTTCTCCTGTGATAACAAATTTAATATATTTATTACCATTGTTACTACTAAATACATTTCCGGATACACTAGGAAAGTGAACCTGTTTACGATCTGTAATATACGCGGCGCTTTCTGGAAGTCCGAACTGTAAGGAATTTATCATATTATCCTGAGTTTCTGCTATAACTAAATCCATTTTATATATATTATTTAGATTTTTTATTATTAATATTATTTTTTTTATGTGAATTTAAATTATTCATATTTTTAGAAATTTGTTTTTCAAGTTGTGGTTGCGCTACTGCCGAAACATCAGTTTCTACAATTCCCCTGATCATTTCATAAGATGAATTATTTATACTTTTTGTAATTTTGTTTTTAAACTGAATGTTCTCGGGGATTTTTCCTATTCTTGTTTGTTCTTTTGATTTTCTGACCTTGTTAAGCATTATATTATATTGTTTTAGATAATTTAATACATACCTAATATTTTTATTTTTTCATCAATGCCTTCTAATTGGTCAATATCATGACTTGCTATAGGATTGAAAGTTTTAGCATCATAACTTATAGCCGCGTTATCAAAAGCACTCACGGGGTCGCCTGTCATTCTAAATCGTTTGTGCTGTTCCGTCGGTCTATCTAAACCAATCATAGGTGAAAAGAAACTTATTACAGGAGCGTTATATGTTCTTGTTTTATAATTTTTATCCTTGAATTCTTTATTTAGTTCTAAAACAACGCTACCTCCCATACTGTGCCCTAATAATGTATCCACTTGTGGATTTTCCATTAATACCCGTCTCGCTTC